TCTTGTTTCCTCAGACTGGATGCTTCTGTGTCCTCATCCCAATGGCTCTCAGCTGAACTGTGCTCCAAAGCCTGAAAGCTTAACCAGCCAAATGCTTCTAGTTTCTGGTCCTCACGCCTTATATACCTTTCTGCTTTCTTTTTTCTTTTCTTTTTTTTGGTTTTTTCGAGACAAAGTTTCTCTGTGTAGCTTTGCGCCTTTCCTGAAATTTGCTTTGGAGACCAGGCTGGCCTCGAACTCACAGAGATCCACCTGCCTCTGCCTCCCGAGTGCTGGGATTAAAGGCGTGCGCCACCACCGCACGGCCCTTTCTGCTTTCTACCACTACTCCCTGGGATTAAAGGCTTGCTTTCTGAGATTAAAGGCGTGATGAGTCACCATGCCTGTCTGTATCCTTGAACACAAGGATTTTTGCCTCTGGAATGCTAGGATTAAAGGCGTGTGCTACCACTGCCTATCCTTTATGTTTAATATTGTGGCTGCTCTGTCTCTGACCCCAGATAAGTTTATTAGCATGCACAATATTTGGGGGAATACAATACCACAATCTTCTTCACAAAGAAATTGCAAAAATTAATAAAATAATCTTTATGAAATGTTCAAATGCATGCAGAAAATATGAGGTTATTTCACCTAAGTTTTAAACTATTTCAAACATAAACTTTATTAAATTATTACATTTTTATTTATTGAGTGTGGTGGGGTATGTGTGCATGTGCCACAATATGCCCATGGCAGTCAGAGGACAAGTGGCAAGAGTGAGTTCTCTCTACTATGAGGGTCCCAGGGATTGAACTCAGGTTAGCAGGCACCATTACCCACTGAGTCATCTTACCAACCCTCGAAACAAATGTTTAAGAGGAATAAAATAGCTATGCTTTAGTGTACCTATTTTTAAAACATTACATTTAACTGCACGAAGCTTCTGATGTAGCAATAAAGGAAAAGAATGGCAAATTTGTGTTTGTTTATAAACCGAACACACTCAGGCTGGAAATTGTCTTTAATAGTTTTAAGTTTATCTGCCCCCAAGATAATATGTAAACTTAATAATAGAGCTTTTTATCATATATGGTTATATCTCGGTAATCTCAATGGTGAACTAAGAATGAAAAGCATAAATAAATCTTTTTAAATAGAATTCTACTATTCAATATAAAAATGGAAAGAATTTATTTTGAGTAGAACTCCAGGTGTTGGTTCATATCACTAAATGAATCACACATCCAAAAACTGGATTTGAATCTGATCCTTTTAAAATAAGCCAGATTACTTATAACATGCTTTTAGCTTGAAGAACATAGTAAAAGTAAAATTGGGAACAAAAGGAATTTGATAAATGATTTTAATGTTTACTTTTCCTAGAAAATTTTCTTAAAGATATCACTTCTCTTTTGTTAAAAATAAAAGATTAATATAGCCATCTAGAGAAAAAAACTTGATCAACAAATGTACCACTGGATTTTCATTTGTTATTTTCTAGAGTATCTGTCTTGCAGTTTTTCCATCTTGAAGGGGATCATAACGCTAGAGCAGGAGATTAATTTGGGAGTAGATCTAACTGGATCAATTTTCAGTAACTTACTATGTGATTTTAGGTTAAAAATCAGTTACATCTATAAAACCGGAATAATCTTAGCTACTACTACTAAATTGTGGTAAATGTTAAACACTAATGAATAATACTACTATGTCACATAAAAAATGTACATGTTAAATTTTTTCCCTTTCTCCTTGCCATTCTTTTTGGTTATTACTTCCACCCACACTAGTCAAAGCCCAGCCTTCATAAATGTGTAGAATAGCAACATGCAGAATAAAAGGGTCAGGGCTGAGAGCAGGCAAGAGCAACCCACTGTTCATACCTTCCTTGTGCTTATGAAAATGAACTGCATCATTTCCAGAGTACATCCCTAGCACTGTCCCATGGAACCACCAGACCGTGAAGAGTATCTTGAGCAGTGCAGTGTGTTTTACAACAAGCTCTTCCTTCCAATATATACAACAGAGGAGAACTAGACAGATACGGGCTGGAGGGAGAAGGTCCACAGTACACTACAAACCGTCCACCTTCTCTTTCAAGCCAGCGAGTGGTAACGATAGGCAGGCAGAGATGCAGACTTTCTACCATGCACCCTCCTCTTACAAACAAACATTCTGACTTATTATGCTAGCCTATTAGTACTTTAATTGAAAGTGAAATTTCTATTAGAAAAGGGGTTTGTTTGAATTCTCACCATGTTGATTGCTCCCCTCTCCCTAAAATTCTTTTGCCATGGATGACTATGTACTTTCTCTAGACCTTCTTGGTCTCTTCTACCATCTTTTCTACCATCTTTTCTCTGCCTCTTTATGTGACATTTTCTCTCCATACAGTCTCTATCAGCTTAATTTACTCTCAGGATTTCTAAGCATACATATTCTGAAAACCTCTTGATCTAAGTCTACTCACAACTGCAAGTTCAACAACCATTTTCAGTTGCTCTAACATCCTGCCTTGTTACAGGTATAAACACCAGACATTGCTATCCCTACTCCCTACTTCCAACAAAAAGTAGATACCTCCCTGGATTCTACATTCACAGCAATGACCCCACTATTCTCTCTCACACATGATAAAAAACCACAGCATTTTTTGATGCTTTCTTCTCTTCTCCTGATGTTCAAAATATACTATGGTCCCACTTCTATACTCCTGTCCTCCAAATTCCTATTGCCACTACAGTGATTCAGGTTTTCTCCATTTTCTGCAGACATCTCTTAAGTCTCAAGTCTCTCTTCACTGCTTTTTCCTATAGTCTCCCTGCTGTTCAATCTTTCTACAGATGCTGTCTCAAAGCAAAGCCTTCAGTGAGTTCTTTCTGGCTACCAAATTAGGCAGGTTCAGTCCTCATCTCCCTTCCATTGGTGCTTCCTATTCCCTTATATACTACACACACTCCAGTATTTAAGACAAAGAGCCTTCTCTTTGTCCCTGAAATATTTCCTCCATTACATACCTTACAGCTTGTGTATAACTACAAAGTCTGCCTTAACATTGTCCTGTCTAAAAACTTATGGCAGTTGTTAAGGTGATGGCAAGTGTAAGAGCAACCAAAGCCTTGCTCCTCATTAGGAGGAGGCTACTAGGCATCTAAAATAAAAGGACCATAGAGGACAATCAAGTATAAGAAGGAAAAAGAAAATAAAGAAAAAGATACTAAATTCCATTAGGAGAATGGAAGTATCCACGGTCACAGACTCAAACTCAGGCTTACTCAAGGCTATTCATGCCCATAACTGCTGTGGGATGTTCTGTATGGCAAATGTGTTGCTAATTAGTCAATAAATAAAACACTGATTGGCCATTGGCTAGGCAGGAAGAGTAGGCGGGACAAGGAGGAGAATAAAGCTGGGAAGTGGAAGGCTGAGTCAGAGAGACACTGCCAGCTGCCACGATGAGAAACAGCATGTGAAGATGCCGGTAAGCCACGAGCCATGTGGCAAGGTATAGATTAATAGAAATGAATTAATTTAAGCTGTAAGAACAGTTAGCAAGAAGCCAGCCACGGCCATACAGTTTGTAACCAATATAAGTCTCTGTGTTTACTTGGTTGGGTCTGACGGCTGTGGGACTGGCAGGTGATAGAGATTTGTCCTGACTGTGGGCCAGGCAGGAAAACTCTACCTACACATAACCAAGGTGATTTTCATTACATCTCATCTTCAGCAATGCTGACTGGCCACGTACTACCTATCAACTGATATTCATAACAACTTGACCAGGTTGATACTACCACATTTTAGACACAATGAAGTATACTCCTTAGGTTTTCGTGGCTAATAGATGACAAGATATGGGGAGAATGTCAGCCAGGATCAGATTCACAACCATTCTTCTTCAGCTCTATTGTTCATGTGCCAGAGGTGCATATAAATTGCAGGCTAGCTTTACTGGTTTGCATTATTTAGTTACCTCTGTAGGCACATATCTTGTGTGTACTACTATAAAGGCACTGTTTTCGAGTGGAGTCTATATCTAATATTTCTCTCTTTATACCTATAATGAGCCTTCTCTATATTGTAAAAATGCAGTATTTGGTTCATTCATTGTTACATCTGTATATTAACAGAAATAAAAATTGACAGACATCTTTAGTTAGCATGAAGCCAAACACAAATATACATCATTTTGCTCCTTTGACTACTTACAAATTAGGATAATACTTAAATCATCAATAGGAAAAGGCCCTAAAAGACAAATCCCAACTACAAAATCAAAGATAGTTGGATGTTTATTGATAATGAAACTGATGCCTATAAGATTGTTCTCTTCTGGCTATAAAGACAGGAGTTACTATGAGAAGCCATTCTATCAAGCAAATAAACAATGTGTTTAAATGTAAAAATAAATGTTTTAACTAATGGTAAAAACCTTTTGTCTTTCTGTTATGGAAAGATATGAATGGACTTATACCTTCTGCCCAGATTTTGTTCTGAAGTCAACATCAACAAATAAAGCGAAATCAATTAATAACAAAATATTGAAATTACTGAAACCCTTGAAAAATCCCTCGAATTGCTTTTAAAACACAGTATAATACTGTACCCATTTTCAGAAAGTACACTGCACAGAGAGACCACCACATCATTCTTCGTGTGTCATCTAAGGCACCGAGTTTTTGTTGGAGACCAGCTCAGAGTCACAGCAACATCATACTCAGACCCTACTTGTTTCTGTAACAGGTGTATGAGAACTGCCTGCACCTGAGGAACAGCACGTTCTTACCCGAATCTCATTCGTGTCAGCACTGTGCACTGTGAGTAAGAACTCCAGTTACCAATCCAGAAAAAAGGTGATCGTTTGGCATTTTGCTTTTGTGTGTTGGATTACGCTCAAATACAGAACCCTAAACTGTATCTCTCAGTGTGCAACCACAGATGCCTAGAATTTCATGCACATATCATCTAACATAATAGTGTTTCATTTAAAAAAAAAAAAAAACAACTAACTTTCTTACCGTCCTCTATGGATGCTTCACTGCTGTACCCATCATACTCTGCAGACAAAGGGCTGTATTTTTGCCTTGTTTCCCAGGCATAGTTCTTTTGTCTAGAATCCACCAATGGCCACCTGGAAGTGTGTGTTCTGGATAAGGCCTCATGATATTTACCCAGCGCTTCATCTTCACTTTCAGAGGATGAACCAGGCTCATCTCTGTCCATGTAGGAATTATCTATTTGGATAACAGTGAGAGGAAATTATAATTTTAATATACTTACATATGGCAAATTTATTTAAAACATATATGCACATATACACACAAACACAAATGTATGTGTTTGTGTGGGCATACACACAGGGTGAAACTAATTAGAACAATCCTTAAAATTACTGAAATGATCGATCATCCCTTACACTGAATTTAAAGTATATTGTAACACTCATATGTGTGTGTGTGTGTGTGTGTGTGTGTGTATGTATGTATGTAATGACACAAAATTTCAGCTTTAGAAAATATATTTTTCATGTAAGAATACCAACAGTTAGATTTTTATGTGTTTATAGGAAATATCACATTGTATATTCTAATTATATAAATAATCTTAGTCACAGGGGTTTGTAACCTTTTTAGGTACAAAGCAAAGTATAGTTGCCATGTTGTACAATTTTGTAAAGGATATGTTATATATAAATGAAATTATAAGTGCTGTCAATGAGTAAGACAATTAATGTCATAAGACAAATTTCTGGTTTTCATTTGGTCTATATTTTCAGAACCAGCAAAGCTCCATGCTAACAGGAAGCAGAGAAATGGGCAGAAACAGACACATTGAAATTGCAACTGGTACAAGTTTTATACAGAGCACAAAACAAATCCAACATCAAACTCTGTGGGCTTTGAAAATTCCATTTCTGCTGGGCAGTGGTGACGCACGCCTTTAATCCCAGCACTTGGGAGGCAGAGACAGGCGGATCTCTGTGAGTTTGAGGCCAGCCTGGGCTACAGAGTGAGTTCCAGGAAAGGCGCAAAGCTACACAGAGAAACCCTGTCTCGAAAAAAAAAAAAAAGAAAAGAAAATTCCATTTCTAGGAACTTGGCAAGTAGATTTCTAATTAGGTGAACATAGATAATATATATTTGTGAAGTTATGTTATAGCAAAAGAAAACAAAATATATAACCAACATGCCTATCAATGGGCCTTGGTTAGGCAAGTGATGACACATCCATTCAACATATGTACTAGGATTATGCAACCTTTTTAACATAAGTGGGTAAGCTTATAGTTCACAAGGAAAGGATAGAAGGTGCAGTTATATTTTTATTTAATAGATACTATACATACTTCAACATGCAGTCTATATTATATATATATATATATATATATATATATATATATATAGAGAGAGAGAGAGAGAGAGAGAGAGAGAGAGAGAGAGAGAGACAGACAGACAGACAGACAGACAAGGATATACACCAAACTTATAACAATACCAGTGAAAAGTTGAATACTAGGACAATTTTACTTAATCATACCTAAATTTTAAGAGGTATAACATTTATATTCTCTAACGAACAGTAGAGCAGTTAAGAGTTCATTACTGTCTGAATAGATATCACCAAACCTCTCTAATCCGCCAGCCACACTTACAGTGTGTAGAGCTATATATAGCTGGACATTCCAACTTCATCATCATCAAGAATCTGACTAGACAGTGCTATGATAACTAGACCAAGCCCTCTGACACCAGCTCAGAGCATAATGTCTTGTGAAATACCAGAGTGAGGCCTAAAGGCAAAGGAATGCTGTGAGCCCCTCATGGATGTACCCTTATGCAGACCCTTTGCAGTCAAACTTCCTCTATTCCAGAATGCCTTCCATGAAAATCAGAGAAATTCTTCTTTCGTAGCCTCCATCTTCCATGTGAGAGCCTACTACACTGGTTCTAGGAATACGACAAGTTAACCTATGAGCCAAAAACACCTGCAATCTGTTCAAGGGACTAGTTAAGGTCAATATTTGACTCTTTGGGATATTTGAGAGCCTTTGGTTTCTTAAGATGCCAGAGTGCTCCTCAATAAAAACAAAGCAAAACAAACAGAAAAGTGTACAGTGCTACTGTAACTGTATTTATTCCTGGGAGCCATCCTATTGTCACTTTCTAAATCACCTGTTACTTTATTTCTTCCTAAGTAATGAGGCTGCCAGAACTAAACAAGGCCACCAAAGCCCAATGAATCACAGCTGCTATGAGAATGGACTCTACAATGAACACATCTTCACAAACTGTATTTCTTTTTAAATAGCCTATGAGTCTAGGATCAGCTTCTCCTATGCCATTAAAAACCTACTGTTCAATATAGAGCAGACCCCTTACAGATGAGTCATATAGCAGAATTGAAAAGTCTTCCATTATTTTCCAGGCTACTCAGGTTTTGCTATCTTATAAGAATCTAAATTTATAGAAAAACTACAGGTGTACATTTTATACACAAAAGCCAGTATTTGGGGGAGAGGGCTTCTGATCAGATCAGCAATAAAGAAGTGATGAAAGAGTGCTAGAAGCAATTATCAGAAGTATGCACAGCAAAGATGTTTTGAAAACTGTCACAAATATTGTAGCTGAACACTGTAAATACTTACTCAGAATCTTAATTCTATATAAAGAACTCATGAATAATAATATATTGCTCATGTACAGTCATTATGAACTAGAGCAGTCTCATGAAAGTTATAAGGTAAAGCTAAATGAATAAAAACATTCAGAAGCATGTTATTTAACAATATAGGAGCTACTGATTTCAAGAAACATATAAAATATTTTACATAGATCCTTATTGGGATATATAACCAACTCAAGACTTGGTTATAAAAGTAAAACAAATTTTAAATATATGAGTATCACACCAAATAAGTTCTAATTAAAGTCTGAATAAATTTTCTAGTATTAAAATAAATTGTAATTAAAATTAGGAAATGGGTGTGGTGGTTCACACCTGTAATCTCAGTAAGTGGAGGCTCTGGCAGGAGTACCTCAGGCTCAAGGCCAGCCTGGGTTATATAGTGAGTTTCAGGCCAACTGGAGCCACACAGTGAAAATCTACTCATAAGAACACAAAAAAGAAATATCAGGACTGCTGGAAATTGCTCAGATAGTGTAGGGATCACAAGCAATATCTGGTGGTATAAAATAACATGAATTATCTAAAAATGACTGAAAAAAATCTAAATGTCTCTAAAAATATCTCCAAGCAAGAAGATCAAGGAAAAAATTAAATTAGATATATAGACATGAAAAGGAAAGTTGAGAAATTTGAATGTTTTTTCTAGTTTAAAAAAAAAAAATCAAGAGAATGTTTAATCACTCAAACCAACATTAGGAGACCTCACCTTTTTCTGGTAATATCTTAGAATATTTGCCAACTTTACTCTTGGCTGTTCCTCTCTTAGCAGAATTAGCTTCATTTTTCTTTGTTTTTATGTCTCCTTTCACTTTGTAGGATTTTGTTGGATTTATTTTTTCTCTGATTTTCCCAGGAAACTTAATTTTATAATTTGTTGATGGAGCTGAACGTGTGTATTCCTTCACAATGGATTTCTGCGCCTTGTGTCTATGGTTTCTTGTGTTATCTTCTGGAGAACATTCGTTTCCTGAACATTCATTCCCTTTGACTCCATCACGTTTACTATGTTTTTTCGCTTTTTGTAAGTGATCAGAATGCTCGACATTAGGAAGATGTTTACTTTTAGTGACGTTCCCTGATTTTTCTTGCTCTCTTCCCACAGGCACATGCTGCAGTCTGCCTTTAGAGTCACCTGTAGCCACGTACTTCTGCTCAGCCACAACATTTTGTCCACTGGGGTTCAGACGTCCTTTCACTTCTAGATAACTTACCTCCTTTAAAGCATTCTGATCATTCCTGGAGCTTCCTACTCCAGCTATCTCACCTTTGTCAGGATGTTCCAGTTCATGACCCGTGGGTGCATCCCCCACTTTCTGCTTGACAGCTGACATCCCATCATTCATGAAGCCTTGCAAAGCAGAGCTACCAGCCTCTCCAGTTTCTGTGTATTCTGAGGGTGTCCACTGCCCATCACGCATATAATATCCCTGTTCATGCGTTTCTTGGTCTTGCTTTGGTGGAGCTGAAGTGTCACAACAGGTTATTTGCTTTGCTTTGTGCTCTATATCAGACTGTGTTTTCTGACAAGCACTGTTGGCTCTAGAAGACCCTGCAGCCTCTTCTGCTGTGCAACTTTCCTCCTCTGGGCACAAGCCATGCATCATACTTGCTACCTGCCCAGCAACTGAGTCAGTTAATGCATAGCTGACTTCCCCAACTGCAGTGCTCAAATCTTCTACAGCACTACTGATTGTGTCTACCAGGGAGGACACTGAAGGTAGATTCTGCTGAAAACTTTTGAAAAATGCCATTTTCCAGTTCCTTGTTCCTAAAAGGTGCAATAATGGAATTTTCTCTTCTTAAAATATCAACTACTTTGGAATGTGAATTTAACATTTATGTAAATGTTGCTATCATTAGCATGATAGTATTTTACACTGTGTCTTTTAATCTTTCTGTAAATGCAATATGCATTGGAAGAAATACGTTGAAGTAAAGACTCCTCCGGAAAAAATAAAAATCAAATCACTTGGCTTAAGTGTAATGACATCTTTTCCCACTCCATAGCTATCAAAACAGCAGCAAGACATTATTTTCCCCTCAAATACTATTGGGTATTTAGTCTATACCTGAAAGAAGAAGTATAAAAAGGATTTTTATTATGTACTTTAGTTTACTTACTAAGAGTCAGTATAAGGGAATAACCCTATTAACAGACTATCGATATTTCAAATTAAGAACTGTATTTAGAAGATAATAACTAAACAGTTTTGCAAGGTGGTAAAAACAGGAGAACAGGTGAGAACATCTGCTGAATGGCATTTCCAAGACACTGTAATGGACATATTTAATCTTATTTGATGTATGGCAGCTTTATAAGATGAATGCCATCTTTACTTTAACAAGTCAAAGAAAAATAATAGGATATCTCTGAGATCTCAAGGTCACACTACTTGTACAGTGACAGTGAGGGGTTGTTTAACATTTTCATTCTCCCTGTGAGAGATAGACCTAATAGGGAAGCAGACACCAGAATCAAGTTGCTTCCTATTGTGCCAGTCCTAACAGACCTATATGAAATGTATATGACAATGTCACTCTTCTCTACAAATTTTTCTTTTGGCTTGAAAAATTATTTTAAAAAATTTTAAAATGTTACATATATTCACAAATAATAACTTTATTGCTAGTACTTTTTTTTTTAAATTCATACAGGCTAAAAATGGAGCTCACCAACAGAGTACATGTATAACATATGTAAAGGCCTGGGTTCAAACCTCAGCAAAAACCTTTCCACTCAAAATAAAAAGAAAAGTAAGTTCGTAAGAGATAATTTAATTTTCTCAGTTTACTATCTAATACAGTACATATTAATAAATGCAACTCACACCAACAAAAGCTTTTTGGAATTTGAAGACATAAAAGAAAATCCAGGAGAGCTGAACCAGAGAATTACAGAAAACTGATGGGGGCTTGGTGGAGAGGAAGGGAGGAAGGAACAGAAGAAGAAGGGAAAGAAGGAGAGTATGAGGGAGAGACAGACAGGCGGATGAGAGACAATCAGACAGAGACAGACAGACAGACACACACACACACACACACAGATTTTTAAGCAGTTCATTCACACAAATGAGTGACATACAGGGCTGGAGTGGAATATGAGAAACACAAAACCAAGTCAGAACCATGTCAGGTACCACAGTTTCTAACACACAAACCAAAATAATAATCTAGGTTATCAGAAAAGAAAAGCATTCTCTGGGATCTGTGCATAGAGAAGCCTGGCTCCTCTGCTCTCATTCTTTAAAACTCTCCAAAATTAACACCTTGGTTTTATCATTCTCAACTTCCTCCATTTATATCAGCCACTATTTGAAACAACAAATAAAGAGCTCTTACAACAATATTTTTAAAAGCTTCTCTAAAATAGGAAAATACAGTATTAGAATCCTCAAGTTTCCTAGGATCTAGTAACACTAGAACACAATCCCTATGTGGTTCTGGGACAGAGCATGGTATGGAAAAATACCTCCTCCCAGCAACATCATTCCTCAGCTGAGAATGAACAGACAGGTAAGACAAAGAAAGGGTTAGTGGCATCAAAAGCCTGATGAGGACACTGTGGAAGCTCTCCTGAGAGCCAGGCTCACAATGGACCAGGCGTTTTCTTTTCTGAAAGCAGCATCTACTCAAAGCATAATCTCAAGACCATGCCTTATCAATGAAAACTAAAAACATTATTTTGCAATAATACATAATTACTTAACAGATATTTCATTCTTACAAAGTAGAGGTTCAAATGTTATATTTATTATGTACCAAAGTCAACCTTCTCACAGAACCTATTAAAACAAGAAATAGTACAGATAAAGAAGTGGCAATGTAATACTTACACATTTTATCTTGTGAATTCTTCTGTGTGTTGTATCCTGAACCAAGATCTGGAAACCCTCCAACATTTTCAAAACAGAACTTCTTATTAATATAGAGAAAAAGGAGCAGCATCAAGACAATAAACACCCCAACCGCTGACAAAAATCCAACTGCCTCTGGAGAGACTAGAGAAAAGAAAGTCACAGCTGTCAGCATCTGTTTTCTTAAGCTGCAAACAAGAAGGAAATTCCCAATATACACTAGATAGATTGCTATCTAATTCCAATTACTTTTAAACTGTCATAATTTAAGATAGTTTGTAAGAAAACCCACAAAATTTAGAAATAATTTTTCAATATATTCAACAGCATTCATTCAAAAAAATTTTAAATATTTCTAAATAAATATATTGAAATAATTTTAAAAGAAAAAAAGTCTAAAACATAGTTAACAAATTTTAAATCCATGAAGAAAACATAGGTAGTTAACAAATTTTAAGACCATGAAGAATGTTATAAAAGTTTTAGTACTGAATTAAAAAATATTTCTCATGTATAAAAATTATTAAATTCATGAGAGCATGGACAATTATTATTTCTCATAGCTTTTCTGAACCTTTCTTATTAAACACTGGATTCCCTATCTGGCATTTACATTCCAGTCTCTCCTTCCAATACACACCTCAGTCAAATGGGTCTAGTCTGCTGTCTCATGCTGAACATACAGTTTGTGGTTTGGCTTGTCTTCTCCCTCTTGCCTGGAATGCCCATCTTGTCTCTCATATCATTCCATTATACAATGGAATTTCTGAACTATATGCCATACACCAAGCACTGTTCTACACATAGCTCCTGTTTTTTCACACATATGATGGAGGTAGTTAGAACCCACTCCATACAGACTATGACTGGAAAAGAACAGGGTCTCCACTTAGGAACACCAAGATCCAGCACTGAAGGGTCAAATGTGCTTCTCTGAAAGGTATGGCTTCTGTGACCATATCTTATGAACTAAGAGGACTTAGACAAGTTAAGGAGCATGAGATTTTGTTATGATAAGCTGTCAGACTAAACAGAATTTAGTATCAAGAGAATATACGTCACCACCCAAGAAGACTTGGACTCCCACCTCCAGCAATCTCACTGTCCTTTCACATCTCCACTGCCCAGCACAGTACCAGTCATCTGGAGTTAAACAAGAACTATGTGTTTGCATGCCTAGTATCTTACAAGTATGATTAGATGGATCTTAAACATCTCAAACATTACCTGTGAAGAATGACCTACTTCCCCTCCACTGCTCAAAGTAGGATCTACCATGCGATCTCCCCCAAGATTCTTTAAGCAGAGCTCATTTGTTTAAAATGAGGTCACAAACAGATGAGTGATTAGTGCTTTTATCTGTTAGCTTTTCATTATTCATGAAAGTCAGGCATACCATAAGTAGAACAGAGTATGACATTACAGCCTACTCAAAGCTGGGTCAGTGTTGGAGACATGACATTGTAAAGGAGGGGCAATGAAAATGGAGGGGCTGGCAGCAGCAAGTACATACAGTATATATCTTGTGACTAACTCAGTTTTCACAAAGATCCAATGACCATCCCCATCATAAACTGATCTGCAGAGACATGAACCACGTGTGCAGCTAGAATTTAAAGCTGCTAGAAGCTGTGCTTTCTACCAGTACTCACACTGTCTCTCCTGTCTCCTCAACTCCTCTTCAGTCCTTTCCTATCCCCTGCCCCCAACTTACTCCTATATTGCTCTTTTATCTTCCTCCTTCCATTCTGTGAAATTAAACCTCGTGGGAAATTCAAGTCTAAACAACTAAGCATAACAAAAAGCAGTGAGCTCTATAATAAAGACAGAAATATAAACTGCTGGGATATACCTGTGAGAGTCAGAGAACAAAAGATGCATTTGAGTGTAGGTGAAAAGACTAATAAAAACTCTATAAATGGAAAATGGCAGATGGCCACTGAAGAATAACAGTCTTGGCTATTGTATTGACCTCTCTGTCCTCATGTACCTAAGGGGGGGGCGGGAATGGATGAATGAGTGAATGGATGGATGAACAAGTAAGAGAATATGTGCTTTGGAACAATCAGAAATATATTATGAGAATAAAAATTAAAGAAGAAAGCAAACTTTAGATTGTCAAAGAGTCTTGAGTATCACCCTAAAGATTTTGAACTTGGAGAGCAACAGGGTTATAACAGGCATGTCTTGAAAAATTACACTGGTAATGAAAAAAATGGGATAAAGTAGGGACTGAATAATTGCATGATTATGATGAGCTCTTAATGAAGCAGTAGCAGTGGTGGCAGAGAAAAGGGATGAATTCTAATTTTTGTTTGAAGAAAATAAGTAATGACCCAATCAGCAGAACATAGAAGATGAGTAAGAGCTGAGGATAATTCTAATTCCATACTGAATGGTCAGGTAAGACAGTAGTGCCATTAACCAAAATGAAAAATATGAGAGGAAAGGCATTTGGTTTAACAGCATGGGGTAAAGAGGCATGTAGAAGAAGAAATTTTAGGGAAAATACTGGGTATGGTTTTGACATGATATATTAGAAATCTCAGCAGAATACTTCAGAGGAGAATATGAGCATGCTATTCTTGTGAAGGTAAGGTTAGTTATAAAAGACCCGGGGCTTGCCCCATTTGTTCCTCTTATACTGTATTAAAACCTTCAATCACAAAGTAAAACTAAGCCAACAAACTCAGATGTGAGGCTTTCTTAATCGTTAATCTATTCATTACAAATTTATTGATAAATACATGCTGTATATTTAGACAAATTAAAAAAAAAATACTTTTCTCCAATAAGAAAAGGAAAAATAGGCCTGCTATAAATATTGCTACTCATACAACACTAATTTTATATATTACTTTATTAAATGCCCATTTTCCTACACAGAAAATACTTAGTCATAATTTTAAATATTAATGTGGTTGTAGAAAAAACAAGTAACATTTTCTAATAGCAAATACTATAAATCTCCTGATTCCTATTTTTGTCATTATATCAAGGCCAAAATATTTATTATTTCAAATGAACAATACTAGCTCTGAGTGTATTAACATTTGCTAAATCTCACCTAAGCATAAAACTGCAAAAGAAGATACACTAAAATCAGACTACAAACATGATTATTGTACATAATCAATAAAAAATTATACTTAGATCTCACTAATGATAATATTTTTCATTCAACTGGAATTTCCCCCTAAAATCTTATACTATGAATCTGATTGTAGACATTCTGCATATTTCTAAGAATATGGTCAATTAATGTATGCATAGATGTATCCTTTTCAAGGCTTCTAGATTGTCCATCAAAGGCAAGTAAACCTATTAAAAATGCCTGTTGGGAGCTGGATAGATGGCTCAACAGTTAAAAGCACAGACTGCTCTTCCAGAAGACCCAGGTTCAGTTCCCAGCACCCACATAGTGGCTCGCAACTGTTTGTAACTCAAGTTCCAGAGAATTCAATATCTTTTTATGGCATCCATGAACACTGCATGGATAAAATCATGCATATAGTGCACAGACATACATACAGGTGAAACTCCTATAAACATAAAATAAATAAATAAAAATATTTTAAATTCCTGCTGCAGGGCTGGATAGAGTGTTGTCAGTAAGCCTGCTATGAAAGCATGAAGGCCTGAGTTCAATCCCCAACACCACATAAAAGGCTGGGCATGTGGTACAAACTTGTAATCCCAGTGTTGGTGAGGTAGAGATAGGAGAATCCCTGGGACTTGCTAGTTGCTCCACCTAACCAAATCAGGGAGCCCCAGGTTTATTGATAGACCCTGCTCAAAGAACAAGGTGGACAGCTCCTAGAGAACAAATGACACCAGAGGCTGACCTCTGACTGTCCACATGTAGGCACACACACACACATACACACACATAAAATGCGCTTTTTTTTTTTTTTTTTTTTTTTTGGTTTTTTCGAGACAGGGTTTCTCTGTGTAGCTTTGCGCCTCTCCTGGAACTCACTTGGTAGCCCAGGCTGGCCTCGAACTCACAGAGATCCGCCTGGCTCTGCCTCCCGAGTGCTGGGATTAAAGGCGTGCGCCACCACCGCCCGGCTATAAAATGCTTTTTAAAATGCCTGTTTCTCCTAAGGAAAACCTTCAAAATCTCTAAAGTACACAGTCAACAACTCATGCACATTGGTATTATATATTTAAAGAAATAAATTTACTGACTGTAGTTAATGAATAAAAATTCATAAGTGCACTGTTTTCCCATAATTCAAACTTTCAATATTTTAATGTATCAAACAATAAGCCCAAGATACATGATGAACAATGTTAGCAATTACTCAACACTTTTAGTAGAGACTTTCACTAGTATTGTCTCCTTTAATGTTCAATAAACACATTTGATAGGTATCACTAGTGGGACCCCAAAATAATCTTAAGTTTTTGAGGTTTCAATATTATTGGTCAGTAACAGACCTGGATTTGAGTTTGGTCAGGCACTGAGAATCCAAACTTTTAACCCAGCAGTTCTCAACCTTTGAGTCATGACCCCTTTCACAGAGGTCGCCTGAGACCATCAGAAAACACAGATATTTACACAATTCATAACTAGCAAAATTACAGTTATAAAGTAGCAATGAAAATAATTTTATTGTTGGTGGTCACCACAACATGAGGAACTGGCCGGGCGGTGGTGGCGCACGCCTTTAATCCCAGCACTCGGGAGGCAGAGCCAGGAGAATTTCTGTGAGTTCAAGGCCAGCCTGGGCTACCAAGTGAGTTCCAGGAAAGGCGCAAAGCTACACAGAGAAACCCTGTCTCGAAAAACCAAAAAAAAAAAAAAAAAAAAAAAAAACATGAGGAACTGTATTAAAGGGTTGCAGCATTAGGAAGGTTGAGAACCACTATTAACTAGAAGTCTCTTTGCTTGACATTTACCAAGCATGATGAAAATTGCTTTCATTTTAAAATAATTAAGAATAATTTTAATGATAATTTAGTATAAAACAATCATTTTAGTCTCAGATTAGACATCTGAGGTACAGGGCTTGCCAATGTCACAAAATCCATGAAGTGGTAGAACCAGGGTTTAAACATAGACATTCTGACATTCTTGACTCTCTTGTCTTAAGCACCAGACAGTACTGCTCCCTAAATGCCAATCTGCATATAAAAGT